CTCTTCCAGTCCTCCAGCACCTCTCCAGTGCACCATGAGTGCTCATAAAGCCGTGCCAGGGGACCTGCAATGACCTCGGCCAGTTCCTTTAGAACTCTAGGGTGGAGATCATCCGGACCGGCTGACTTGAATACGTCCAGCCCCTCCACAAGCTCTGTAACTAAGTCCTCGCTAACTAGGTGTGCCTCCCCCGGGGCACGAAGGGGGCGCAGCAGGGAGGTTGCTGTTCTGGTTCCTACTTAGGAAGACAGAGGCAAAGAAATCGTTAAACATGTTAGCTTTGTCGTCTGGTGTGACAACCAAGTTTCCCAACGCGTCCTGCAAGGGCCCCGCATTACCTGGGACCTTCTTTTTACCCCCTATGTATTTAAAAAAAGACTTCTTATTGCTGTAGCTTTGTGGTTTAGCTCATGTGGAAAGGGGGGAATCTTGGGTTCCAGTGCCTGTACATTTATCTTGCATGAAATAGTCATTATGTAACATACTTAAGAGTCCTACTAGAGGAGCTGAAAAAGGAAGTAAAGCTGGATCCCCCTGGGTATTTGCTTAACCATAAGAGTATTATATAAAAGAGATAAATACCTCCATCCTTCTCCTCTGAGTAAATTTTAAAACAAAAGGGTAAGCACTGTTGAGTTCTTTGAAATAAGTGTTTCAGTCCCCCCTCCCTTCAGAAGGTTTCAGCATCTTCAGCACTTCCCTCATGGCTAGCTCTTGGTGGCTGCAGGCTTTGTGGGTGACTAGCCAGTTCCCTGCTTGGCAGCTATTTTGGATCCCATCAAGAAGTACCTAAGTTCTCTCAGTTCATTGTTAAGGAACCTCACTGCTTTACTCATGGTTTTATGGAGTCAGCTCTGGGGACCAGGCACTCAAAAGTTAGGCATCACAGGATTTTCAGGTGCTTTTAAGCCCTTTTTTGAAGCTAGATCATGGCTCCTCGAGCTTCAATTTTATAAATGAAAGTTCAGAAGCAAAAACAAGTCTCATGTTGCAAAAGTTTATTATTGCCTATATATATCTGTAGCTCAGCCTAAATTCAGTACAGTTGTATTTGAATGAGCTATTGTACATGCTTCGTTTCAAAAAAATGTATTAAAATCTATTCTGCTAGCAAATGAGGAGTTGGAAAGGGTAAAAAAAAATTCAATGCTGAATTGCACTATCTTAAATCTTTGTACTTTGAAGGCTTTGGTGAGCTGTCTTTTGCATGACATGCTAACTGTGTATAAAATATCCTGTGCAAAACAGAGATTCTTTCTAAAGCACATTTTTAATACAAATTAAGTTCCTTTGCTTTGGTTAGTGTCTTGTATTTGGTAGAACTTTTTTTTAAAAGAAGAAACAATGCCATTCTGCACTTTCAAGGGATTTGGATTTGAACTGGTCAGTTGTTTTCATTTGTAGTATTACATCCCTATCTCCAAGAAAGCAGCAATAATGTATCTTTTGTGGAACCCACTAACATTTGTAAAAATAGTTATTTTGTAGAAAAAGGCTGTTGTGAAAATTACTGAAATCAAAATGCTTTGAAACATTTTCATATTTTACCATAATTTTTTACAAGAATCAGCTTTGAAAAAAATTTTTAAAATCTGATTTTTCAGTAAATGAAGGATTGTCAGCAACAAATACTGAAGTATTTCACAAGAAATAGAAAATGAGACCATCTCAAAACCTGCAAAACAGTGAAAAATTTCAAACCTGTTTCTAAATAAATTCCTGGTTTTCTAGCAGCTCTAGTACTTAATTGGATGTCCCTTGTTTTAGGGGGAAAATAAGTATGGTTTCCCCAATTTTGGCAGAATAGAACAGAAGCATATCCTGCAACTGAAGATTACCACTCTATTTGCCAACACCCCGGCATATTTATGTGAAAACTTACTGGATAACCAACAGCTGCATCCCTATTTTAGGCCCAAGAGAAAAGCTATACATTTCCTCTTCCATTGCAGGTGCTCATTTCACCAGTCATCTACTTCAACCACAAATGGTTCTTTCACAGCTATTTTGCCGCTGTTTACTATCACACAGTCTTCAAGAGGGCGATCATGTTCATCTGTCTGCAGAAGTTCTATAGAGTGTACAACAGACTATTAAAAAAAAAAAAAAAAAAGGAAAGGGATTGAATTTAATGGAAACAAATACTCTAATATCAAGCACTAGGCAAAAAAACTACATGCTGTTAGCATAAAATTCATTTTCAACAATTCTGAATAGGAACTTTTCCCAGTTCCTTTCCCTCAGAAGTTTGCTTTTTCCACTAGAAGCAATTCGGGACCTAAGCAAGAACCTATCTAATGAGAAGTACCGCCTGAAATGTTGTATGTGTTTATAGAAAAGGATGGAACATTTTGAACAGAACATCTGGAGTTAGAAAGAAGAAACTGAAACTATCCTTGCAGCTGATCAATTTAACAAGTATGCAGTTCTATCAACTCTAGGGATCATGAAGGTAATATAGTATTTTTTTTCTAACCACAGGCTAGTGCTTATAGAATCTGACTCCTCCCCATACTCTACATAAATTATGTTACCGATGCCTCCAATCAGATGCCTGCCTATGAATACTAAACTGGCACTAGCAAATAGGGTATTATTTTGAAGGCTAGAATTCAGATTGAGCGATCAATTTTCTGGTCTAAGGCTATTAGATTAGATCAGATCAGATCAGAGGCTGGCAACCTTATGGCCTGCACAGCCTTTGGATCTGGCCTGTGGAGCCATACTTTTGGTAGCATTCAGTGAGAAGGGGGCTCTCCCTGCACCATACTGCAGTCAGCCACCTGGGGCTCCAATAAAGAGGGGGATGCTGCCCATACCACTGTCAAGTGGCACAGGCTCCAAAGGAGAGGAGGTTTTTGCCACACCACAGAATCACTGGCAGCCCCCTTGTCCTAATGCCCACCAGGCTCTGATCTGATCTGGTTCATTCCATCCCCTCACCCTCACCGATTAGATTAACTGTGTGCCACTTAATTTACTCCTGAGCTAAAGTTTACTATAACTCTAAGACTGTCTCAACTGCTCTTATGGCTCATGAGAACTAGAATCCATTTGAACAAGATTGATTCAAATGAAGATTTCATGAGTTACACAGGATGCATTCCACAGAACAAGTTCTATCCATTTCAAAACAGAGCTGAAGTGGCATGGAAAATAAGATGCAAGGGCAAGCCACCAGAAATTTAGTAAGTCAGATGCTGTATGATTTATCACTTTGTTTGCCAACTACAAACACAGAAAAAAATAGCTAAAAAAGAGACTTAAAGAGGTAATTTAATCCTACCTTCTGCTCAAAGCAGGATCACCTAAGCCAGTGGTTCTCAAACATGGTGTCATTAAATGCTTTCAAGGATGATGCAAGCTGCTGTGAATACTAGCAGTTAGGTGTGCAACACTTACATAGATTCTAAAGACAAACCTGAAGATTTCAAAGAGGAATCTATTGTGTCAAAAAAATGTTGACCTCTTGTGACCTTTTCTAAGTTCTTTGCAACAAAAGAACTACTCTATTATTTTTCTGTAGTCAAAAAAAATTAGTAAAACCTAAGCTGGCATTTTCTGAGGGGTACCAGGGATCTAATATGGGGTAGTTTGAGTCTTAAAAAACAGTTGAGGACCACTGGTCTAAACCATTCCAGATAAATGCACTTACAAAATTCCAATACCAACAATTCCATAAGCTCTCTAGTAGGCCTGTGCGAATAGGGAAGTATTCAATTCAGATCCAGCCGATTCGGAGGACAGTGAATCGATTCGGTGATTCGAATCACTGTCCCCATTCGATTTGGCCAAATCAGAATCGGAGATTCAGCACTGATTTGGCAATTCAGAGAGGCAGGCACAGCTGGGCGGCTGCAGATTCTCCCGTGGCTCCCCTGGCTGCGGCTGTCTTCCCGGGCAGCCCCCATGGCTGCCCTGCCAAGCACCAGCCTCCTGCCACATCAAAA